AAACCTCCATCGTGGGATTGTTGTGAGGATGAAGAGAATTAATAAAGAGAACACCTGTATTTATGCCTGTCTGGTACCTACTGAAAACCAAACCCACTGCCATCGAATCAACTTAAACTCACACACAGCGATCTCATAAGACAAGTGAGACCGGCCTCTGTGGATTTCCGAGACAGGAAGATTTACAGGAGTAAAATTAAACCTCCTCTGTACCTAATATGCTCAAGATTATAAAGAACCCTGTAAACTGAAGGTTTCTTGAGATTAAGTTTCTTGATCAGACTTATTTAAAGTTAGTCAAGGTTATTGCCCCTGAGCTAAAGGACAGTAACGACTCAAAACCTTTCTGGAGCTTCAAAAAAAAAAAGTAAGCCCAAACATACAATATTCTAAATAACAAAATTAAACACTGCTAATAATAAATGGCATTATTAAATATCAATTTCAATTTAGCACCCGTGAGCTGGAAAGCAATGGCTGGGTACTGAGAGCCCTTGGTTGTAGGACTTTGGACTCAGAACAGAGCTAAGAACTAGTGGGTCCCCTTCTTTGCGTCACTTTCGCTCCTCGGCACATTCAGTGCCCAAGCCTATGCTCAGTGCCTCAGTGCCTCGTGAACAAATGGGCTGTAAACCCCGACTGTGTGTGCAGCACTGTCAGAGCCAAAATGAGGAAACAGGTCACAGCCCTCAGCGAGCTTACAGTCCCATCGAGCAGCTGCACCCAGAGCAGGAATGACCGGAGTGCAGGGTGGAATAAAGCGATTGCCACAGGGAAATACAAATAACAGATTCACGCGGGTGTTCAGATGAGACACAAAACTACATCCACTTCTTTGTTTTGTTTTGACGAGTATCTATGGAGACAGAACAATGCCTGCAAGTCTTAAATTCTCGGTTCACAATTCAGACTAGGGGATAAGGGAGACTAAGAATGTCAAACCCTGGAAATGATATTCTAAGGCAATTTCATTAAACTACAATGTCATGTATGAGTAGAAGACGGGAGAGAGGGATCGGGCAAATTATAAAGAGCCTTCACCAACAGGTAAAAAGTTTAGGAAGCTCAAGAAAGGCCTTCTTCCTGATCAAATACTTCTTCCAGAATCGTATATCAGCAATTACGCAGCTCTTAAATTGTTGGAGAAGAGGAGAAATAGCAATGCTAAAACTGTTAGGGAGAGGAGCGATGCCACACTTTATTGCTAGTCTCTGGACTTACACAGTATGATCAATGTTCAAAATTCTCTTAATCATATGCCTTATGATCCCCCTCAAAAAACTAGCTCAGCTGATTATCACTGAGTGGATTGTTGACTGCATGTGTTCTTATCAAACACAGCAGTCACAATTTTGTAAGACCACAGATAGCTTGTAAGATCACTAAGACACAAAAAACTTCCTTTGCCCCATGGCTTCCTTTCTTTTTTCCCTCTTAGTTTTTTTTTTTTTTTTTTTT